CATAGAAAGCCAGCACGCCTTCAATTTTCCAAATACAACAAAAACACCCGTTGAACACGAATAGTTGCATTCAAACGCCGTCGTTGAAGTAGAGTCCTTGCGTCCGCCGACTACAACAGTAGTTTTCGTATATTCACTAATGAACTACCCCATGTTTTATGTTCATCTCTAGGGTCATATTTATAGCCGTTTGTTGAGCTCTTTTCCACAGGGAGGTGCTGAACAGTAAAAATAGTGATTGAGGCGGCCTTTACGAGAGAGTCATTTAAAGTACACTTTTTTGAGCCTCAAGTAAAATTCAACAGAATAACTTTTCCTTGCATAGAGTAACAAGAATTCGACAATACAAATAATATGAAAAGAAAATGAAGACAATTTTGACAAAATTTAAGGTGAGGGCGGAAATTTACCTTAAAATATGCAAAATTTTATTTTTTTTTTATTTTACATTCATGAAATAGGATATCATTGTCATCCCTTGCAAGGGTATTCACCCAAAATTTGACTGTTGAATTTAACTTGAGGTTGGTTAAAATTGTCTTTTACAAGAAGATATTAAAATATCCCCGAATCATATGTAAACCATATGCAGCCATCTAAGAAAATAGGATGTCGAAGGAACCTCTGAAAATACGATCCTTAACTCGCGATTTTTCCGCAGTCACGAATCAAGGGTTCTTCGTCCAACTTGGCGGCTACGTTTATGAGTCAACTTAGTTAAGGAGGAGTTAGTTTGACTCGCGCGACTCTTGTTTTCGCAACGTTGCCTAAGTTCAATTTAATTCGACCAAATATTTCTCTTGTCCATGTTGAGCAATGTGAGGAATTTTGGATCCTCTTAAAAGTGGCAACGATATGTTGTAATGACGGTGATGCGGAATTTCTATTTAACTTCGGTCGATGCACTGAACATTCACGCTTCGCACACGGTGAGGATGTTTAAAATGATACGAACTAGGTCAAACTAAACGGTTATTTGTAGTTAGTATTGGTATTGTCACTTCGACTAATAAAACAGGAGTCCGCGGGTGCAATGGATAGAACATGTAAAACGTTCGATAGAAGTTTGAAAGTTAATTTTTATACCCTTATTTGATGTATACCCTAAGAATTTGCTCAAAACTAAACTGATACTTCCAAAAGGATGACGTGTTAAATTTTTTTATTTTTTAAAGTCCTTGACCTGAAGAAGAACTGGCATTTGGTAGTGAAAGTATGCGCTAAGTACAAACTCCAGTACCAAAAGCAAACCTACACTATACGTGGAGTCTTCAGGAGAAAGTATTTGTAAACAAACATGACTTCACTTTAAGTCACTTCAATCGTGAGTAAAATCATGACATTTTTAGACAGTTTTTAGAAGGAATACCTAAATTGGGGGAAAACTGCGTCGTTTCAACCAGAATTAACCTAAAAGCATTTATTTTTGCCTAATTGTACATAGAATTTTAGTTTTTTATGTTGCATGGTTTGTAGTTTATTAAGTGTTTAATATCAAAATTAGTATATATTAGATTTTCACAAGACTTTGGTGCCAATTCTCATTTACACAACTTTTTTCATACTTATTTCTCACATGAAACTTACTAAAAGAATAACAAAAAAGGTTCTCCGACACATTTTAATAATTTGTTTACGTTTTTTTAAAGTCCAAATTTAACAGACCATGCTACTGGGGGCGCAGGGTCTAAACAAAACAGAGAGATTGAACGATTCACCCCTTTCCACGGCCGTCATACTTTTGCTATCGAGAGGAGCAGCTAAAAATATTTGCAGCTCAAAGAAAACGATAAATTATCTTGGAAAATGAGCAGTTTGAAGCGAGAAAATATTTCATTTTTGAAGTCAAAGTAACAAAAACGGCGGGGTCAAGGGATTTTCGGAGCTGCAACTACACGAGGCGACAAGCAGGCCCGGGGGAGAGGGGAGGAGTGACTGCACAATAAAGTACTCAAACAGAAAGCTTCATAAACTCGGAGATAAATTGCGTTTCCAGCCAGAGGTCCTTTGTTTTTCTGCTTGGGATCCCGTATTATGTAGAGCGATAAATACTCTCAAGAGGGCTCCGCGCGAGGTCAACATGTTATACTTCAACTTTTTAATCCTTTTAAAAAAGCCTTTTTTACAAAAATTGGTTGAGTTTTTTCGCAAATTCTATGCTTGAAAATTTTACTTTAAAATTTGTTTTAGAGAAAAACATATTTTTTACTATTTTTAGTGAGCACAATGACGCTTAAAATACGTTCTTTGAAATGTCTTCAAAAACAGAACAATATTTTTCGGATGCCAAGAAGGAACCAAGCCACATTAGCAATAGGCAAATGTAATTGGGCCATTTAATTTTTTACATGAGAACTTTTATGTAGATTCCTTTGAAAATTTCAAGGAATTTGCTTCGTACCAGGCAGGAAATTCACTAAAATTTGCACAAAAATCCGCCCGACCGTTTTTACGTAAAAAATTAAAGTGCCTCATTAAATTTGGCAATATATGATGTGACTTGTTTCCTTTCTGCTTGACGCGGTCCATATTAAGGCAAGATTTTGTTACTTTTTCTTAATGTTTGATAACGTTTAAGCAGATTCTTTTCAAAATTTTACGGAATTTGCATCGGACTGGGCAGGAAATTCACTGACATTTGCACAAAAATCCGCACAACTGTTTTTATGTACAAAATTAAATTGCCTAATTGAATTTGGCGATGGCTGATGTGACTTGGTTTCTTTCTGCTTAACGCGGTCCATATTAAGGCAAGATTTTGTTACAGTTTCTTAATGTTATAAACGTTCAAGCAGATTTTTTTGAAAATTTTAAGGAATTTGCTTCGGACTATGCAAAAAGTTCACTGAAATTTGCACAAAATCCGGACGACCGTTTTTACTTAAAATTAAAGCGTGTGATTAAATTTGGCAATATCTGACGTGGCTTGGTTCCTTTCGGTTTAACGCGGTCTACATTAAGGTAAGATTTTTTTTACTTTTCTTACACTGGAAAAAAACACATTGGATCTCAGAGTCCAGACTCTTAAAAACATCGACAAGAAAAAACACTCTTGATTCAATCAGATTTAAGCTTAAATCAAGAACCAAGCCTCTTAATGTGAGTGGATTTCCTTTTGATTTAAGCTTAAATCTGATTGAATCAAGAGTCCTTTTTCTTGTCAATGTTTTCAAGAGTCTGGACTCTAGATCCAATGTGTTTTTTCCAGTGTACAGTGTACACTTATTTGGAAGCTTTTGGAAGGTTCGCGCGGGACGGCAAAGCGGCAACCGGGAAATAAACGGGTATTAAACGTCTATTTTTCTCCGGAAAAAACCCGCGTCAGGAGTGCTGGGGGTGCGGTTTAAGCACGGAACGAAAAGAATGAATTGGGGCAAACTAAATGCGAACCACCGATCCGTACGTGCGAAATCAATCGGAGCCCGAACTCCCGGGCGCGGAGCCGGGAAATAAAATCTTAGCTGTAAATTCGCTCCGACAAGCGTGGCGGGGGAAACGGTGCAGTATGTTGAGTTCCTAATGGCCCAGCAAATTGATAAATTGACGACGCATCTCGGCGAATCGGGGCGCGCGGCTTCGAATAATCGGATTGATTTATTTTTAAGAGGTGGCGGCACTGATCGAGCATCAACTATCAAAGAGCGGATCCGGAATTGATATTTGCGCCGCGGCTCCGGCGGGGCCCCTAAATCTCCCTTATGCATCATTTAGCCCTGTCAAATAAATATTCAAACAAAGGCAAAGCGCGCCTTTAAACTCTAAATGATTACCATAAAACCTCGCCATAAACCCTTGCTTAATATTGACGTCCCGCGATTCGGCTGCACTCGGCCGCGTGAGTTACGGCTATCCGCAGGCTCCATCACTTCCTTGCGGCTTTCTAATGGCCCCTTCCGACGCCTCGCCCTTATCAATCCGCATTAAAATTTCAACCCTTCCCACTCAACGCTCGGCCCCGCCGCCGATCCCTCACCTTCCGACCGACGGTCGAGACAATTGCCCAACTTGGAGTCATACAAACACCACGGATTACCTACATAGACAGAGCATGGAGCTTCTGCAATGCAGGACCTGCACAAGTGCACATTGGAAAAAAACTTTGGCCGCGGAAGCCGCACTTCCGGGCTATATAGAATTATAGACATACCGTCCGCGCTCCGGGCCTAGAGGCTGAAAGTTCCAGGTGTAGCACCCACAGCAATATAAGCTACGGCTCCAGTACCCGAAACTTCCAGCCTCTATGAGCCCGGAACGAACGGTATGTCTATAGGTATAGCCCATAACTTTTTTTTCAGCGTATGTGTCGGATATTAGCGATTTAAGCGCTTTTCCCTATGTACTAGGGCCTTGTCTCCGCGGGGCATTTCATGGGATTTGTCCCAGGGAAAAACCTCACTTGCGATGTTGGGAAACATATTGAGTTTGTCAATACTAATTACAGTGCCAAGCGGAGTCCTTGTGGAGTCCTGAGAACGACTCGGAGAGAAGAAGGGGAAATTGTGTTGTCTTGTTAAATAGGGACAAAGCCCAGAAGTTTCATTCTTGCGATTCGAACTTGGGGCACATCCCATGAAACGTTCCATGGATACAAGGCCTAGAATGTTGTTGTACAAAAACTTTGAGATCAGAAAATGAATATACCTTGAGAACACCCATACGAGCTCAACCTGGGTAAACAGAGGCGGATCCAGCAATTTGGCAATGCCGGATCGCCTCCATTTAAACCCATGCTAAATTATCGATTATTGTCGGAGCACCTGGCCCCTCCAAGAATCGATACATTTCCATAGGTTTAAATGAAGAAAAGACAGTGTTGCCAATTTGCTGGATCCGCCAATGTGGGTAAATCTTGGGAAAACCTTGGATACCCATTCTTGGGTACACCTTGGGGTATAGGACAATGAGTAGTGCCGAGACAATGAGTAGAGTACGCCTTGGGACAGCCTTGGGTACCCATTCTTGCGCACACTTTAGGATAAGGGAATGAGTATAGAACTCACCAATGACAGTGAGGTTAACTCTGGAGAAGCGAGTAGGGGCCCTGCTGAAGTCGACTCTGCACCGGTAAAGACCGCCGTCGGACTGTTGTATGCCCTCCAAGATGAGTTTGGCGTCTTGGCCGTTGAGTTTGAAAGACGCGCGGCCGTTGAGCGATTCCCTGTTCCAGTGCTGCCCCTCTCCTCGCCGCTTCTCCCGAAAGTCGATGCTGCAAACATTCAAAACAAGTTGATGCTATATCTGCTCAAACAAAACAACATATACACATTTCAAACGAAAATGTCTACCTAAAAGAAGAGGACTATGATATATAAGATAAGGAAATAGCACCAACGAATTCCATTATAATGTCAACAGCGGGTGCCTCAATGTTTCCATCAAAATGAGTCCGGATTATTTCATTCATAGTCCCCATGTTACGTCATCATCAAGAGTTCCGATGAAGGCATCCGTTCAAACAATTGAAGCGTCAAAAAGTACCATTTGAAGTCATTTTAATGTATGTATTAGTCGCTTTTACGGCGCACTAGGGCGCTCTGCGACACTTACCCACCACTAGAATATTTGTCAAGGTAGAGATTTTAAGAAATCTGGCATCTCTTCACCTCTTTTCGGGGTAATTTGTCAATTTTATTATGATCTTAAATGAACTTGTGATTGAGATTTAAAACTGAATATATTTGATATAATATTAAACGACAACCCTATATGAGCCTTTAGCAGAAAATTTCTTGTGAGACCTCCAATTTAGTGGGGATTTGCTGAGCCTGCCCATTACTCAAAATGCGTAAAGGTATCGCACTGAGTAAACCATTCGCTACCGAGAAACTTTTCTTAAAAACATCGACTTTTTAAAAGCTAATTTATCTGATAAAAGATAAATCCAGGGAACGCATGATGAAAAAGCGCTGAGTGAGCAGTTATCAAAATTCAATACAAATTAAAAAGAGTCGAAATGGACGCGGTTGATCGAGAGAAGATTTGAGACAAACAATCAAAACATTCATAACGCGATAAATTCAAGCTTAACCCCGATTTATCTATTTTTAATGATTTTTCGGGAATAAAGCTCGCAATAAAATATCACGTTCCGAAATTCGAGGGGAAGTTTGAGAAATTCTAGTTAGTAAACTTGCTCGGGTGGTGTTTCCCGTTCCGCGCGGATCTGTAAAAAAAAGCTGAAAATAAAACGGTCTTTGAAGGTGCGTTTACTCGAGCGCAGCCTTGTACTTCTTGCAGAAACGGCTCAATTTTCTCGCAGCGAGCAGCCGAGTTTTATGGAGAGTTGACAACAAAGTTGAAGCTTCGGCGCTCGTAAAAAAGCATATTTATTGATCTGAAAATAAATGCCCCCCCCCCCCCCCCCCCGGAATCAGGCTCTAAAAACGGCAGATTCGTCGTCGATTTGATTAAGAATCAAAGAGGTCGGATCGTAAAAACGGGCATTATCGGAGGACGTATAAAACGCGCCCACCCCCGACTCGACGACGGGAGCCTCGACCCCGGATAAAACACCGATAAACTGGCCATTACAAATTTTATAATTTTTACACATTGTCATATCATGGCAGGCGGTGCGGAGTTTTGTAGGTATCAATAGAGCCCACCCCTGTGCCTTGTCCTTACATGGAAGTGGACACCCCCGTAGCCAGGTGGCTGTGTAAAACCAACTTTTCCCGGTGAGCCCTCAGAGGAGGGTCATAATGGAGAATTTTGCTTCATCTGAGAGTGCTTAAGGTGATTCGATGGACGCCATATTTTGTGTCAGAGCGGCATGCGATATATCGCATCAATGGACCACTAGACAAGGTTCAAATTTAAGCCTTCTGATACTTGTTTCTTTACCAAAATTTCACGTAAAACACGATGCGCACAACGAAAATTACCGAAATCAACTCCTTACGAAGATATTTAATGATTCTTGATGCGTGAATTCAAACCTCCCGCCTTGAAAACTCAATGCTCTACGTGACTCACATCGCGCGCTAAACGTTATCATGACAGTCTCTATGTGATATAAAAATCTGGCAACCTCAATCTTGACACTTTGGCTCAGTTATAGCAAATTTCTTGTGGTTTGAACAACATATAATGAGAAATGAACATTGCTCGATGGAGAAGCTTGCTGAAACCGTTGCAGTGCACGATTTGACTCACGTAGAGCTTTGAGTTTCTTGTGAGCGGGCAGTTCAAATTCCTCGTAGCCTATGTAAAATAAAAATGTTAATATCTCCGTTAGGAGTTGGTTTCAGTAATTTTCGTTGTGCGCGTCGTGCTTCACGTGAAGTTTTGGTGAAGAAACATGAATGAGGATGCTGAAATTCGTACCTTGTCTAGTGGTCCATTGGTTCCATTTTTTCAGCTACTCGTCATTTTTCTCCAATTTTGAGATCGCAATTCTGTTGTCAGGAGACTTAAGCACTCACTTACCAATTTTAACAAAGAAATTCAACGTAATAAAGGCGTGGTTTTTTTAGAGAGAAATTTTCGCATTCGAGTGCAGTTTCGATATCAGTATCGTGTGCGATGTTTTCTCTCTGAAAAAACCACGCTTTTAATACGTTGAATTTCTTTGTTAAAATTGGTAAGTGAGTGCTTAAGTCTCCTGACAACAGAATTGCGATCTCAAAATTGGAGAAAAATGACGAGTAGCTGAAAAAATGGAACCAATTGATGCGATATATCGCATGCCGCTCTGACACAAAATATGGCGTCCATCGAATCACCTTAAGAAGCTGATTACGCAGTATACTTAAAGACAATTTCTGACATGGGAAATAGCATAAAAATATATTTCAAAATGAAAAAGTGCACCACCTAGTGACGTCATATGGTGGCATTTTCCATTAATACACGTGGATGGAATTTGGCAGAAGGGAACCAGGAGCATTCCAATGTCGTTAAAATTGCGCCAATTTTTTACCTTGCAAATAGAATCTGAACAAGTTTTATCTTGATTCTCCATAAATAATAAATTCGAGACAAAAATTGATGTTGTAAAATTAATTTTTTGCATAATTTCAGTAATTTTTTTTCAAATAATGAAAGTTGCACAATCTTAGCGACGTTGGAATGTTGTCGGTTCCTTTTTGCAAAATTACATGTATTTTAGCAGATTAGATAACTTTATCATGTCCTAATTGTTCAATTTATGAACAAATAAGGGTATACTTGTGTTCAGCACACCTGTTTTTTCCGGCCTGATTTACCAATGGTATCTTTTAGCCACAACATGCAAAATTTCTGGCATACGTGTGACTAAGATCTAAACTATGAGCTATCAAAGTAACACAATTTCCATTATTTCAATATCAGTCAGGAATATTAGAAAATCGACAAATTAGAAGTTTCACATGTATAAAGTTTTACAAAACTTTTACGCATGAGGCTCGTTCATATTAATTTTTATCATCCCTCATAATTTAATACATTTTTTTTTTTTAAAAAAGGCTGGCTTAAGGAAAAATTTTGTATTTTAAATGTACAGCAGGAACTTACAATGATTTCTAGGAAGTGGTTTGACAATTCCGCATACGAACACTCAGCTTTACGAGGCTACTTTGCAAAAAGCACTAAAACGGACTTTGAATGGGACTCGTAAACGATCTCCTTTTGCATGCACGAAAGGTTGGAAGATGTTGCGACGAGACCCACATACACGAGGACACGCCGAGGGTGCAAGAATTTCCCTATGACTCGGCAATCCCCGTCCTCTGCCGTTTCAAATGTCCTCATCCTCATGATCTCCTTTTTTACCGTCTTGTTCAATTTGCAAATGTCTTGTTTTCTCTCATGTCTACAAGTTTATTCCCATTCTCGTCTGATCCCTTCCGAGTCCCGCTGAACCGTTGAGTGTAATGTGCTGGGCGCTCTTCATCCGGAACAGGCCAGACATTGAATTTGAATATTCACATCGTGCGTAATCAGTGCCCTGACCAGTGGCCATGTTCGTGTCCACGCGTGACTTGGTTCTAGACACCCGTTTAAGTGTTTGGAAAGTGGAGGCAGATCTAATGTTGGCGAACAATGGACTCAAAGGAAGTAGATATGGCTACTAAATAGTGGGTCCTTATATGGTGCACTGGAAAAAAAAAAAAAAACAGTGGATCTAGAGTCCAGACTCTTGAAAACATTGACAAGAAAAAATACTCTTGATTCGATCAGAGTTTTGCTTAAATCAAAAAGAAATCCGCTCAAATTAAGAGGCTTGGTTCTTGATTTAAGCAAAAATCCGATTGAATCAAGAGTATTTTTTCTTGTCGATGTTTTTAAGAGTCTGGACTCTAGATCCAATTTGTTTTTTCTTTCCAGTGTAAGCGGCATCCAAGATACTTTGATTTAAAAAGTCTCGTAAAAGTACGAGAATTTTCAGATTTTTAATGAGTTAGGTAATATGATTGAATCTCGCGCTCATTCTGAAAAAGACGCTTCAAATTCAGCATATACACGATGGACAACATCATATTTTGATTACTGAATTCTACCGATTAAAAAAATACAAATATACACACAGCGGCCAACTTCGGTAGTCTGTGTGATACAGTAGACAAATTAATTTCTCTACACCTGTGGTAAGTCTAATGTTATGTCGGTTTCTTACCTGTAAAATGGTGTGGTCTGATTGTGTTTGAACCACATGATAAGGTCGATTCTATCCTCCACCGCATTATCGTAGATGGACATGTTGCATGGTAGCTTCGCGATGCCATCCAATACTGCCTCTACGCTTGATATGGGTCCTGCAACAGATGGAAAAATAAAGATGAAAACTAAAAAATGACGTCATCAAACAAAACAAATATGATTAGAACCAAATTGTCCAAGTTTAATTAATATATCGATATTTTCAATCTTTTGTGAATTGTAATCCGGGAATCGGGAATGACCGCACTAACGCAGACTGGTTAAGCTTTGACACCGATTTTTTACTTAAACAGCTCTTTTCCTGAGGGCCGAGCCTTTTATGTTTTACACGGGGATTCAGGAAATTTGAAGGCGATCCTTATCATAACACCATTAAAAGGACGTAACTTTAAAAAATCGCAAGTATAATTCAACAGAATGACTTCAAATAGACCAATGCAAGAAATAACAATTATATTCCACTGCAAAACATAAAAAGATACGGACGGAAAAAGTCAATGACTTTGACAAACTTTGACAACATGAACGCGCCTTTACTAACAATATTCGAAAACCTGCAAATTGTTTCTTTTTGTAATTTTAATTTTTTTGAGTGACACATCATCGAGATCCTTAGCAAGGCTCTACTTCTAAAGTTATACTGTTAACTGTGTTACTGTGTAATATCATTGCAAAGTTATACTGAATTTCAATCAAGATTCGTCAAAATTGTTTTTTATACATATGATGTTATTTCAAGGCTCTCCTTCAACCTCTCTTAATCACAATTTGGACCATATGACGCCTCCTACGGAGAGGTACCCACATTTAAAACTGGAGAAAATTCAAAAAGGGGCTTGCGGCGTGTTCCACAACACATCTACATCAAAACCTATCACTGAATATTTAGTAGAGTGGCACCCGAGGGAATAGAGCCCCCCCTTCCCCCACCGACCCCCCTCCCCCCGCCCACCACGCTCGTCGCTCATTTGGCATGCCTCAGCCCCTCGTGAATCCCCCTTGGATTGCCAGCCTGCCAATTCCTTCTTTTCTCTTATAAACGCATTACCTTTGAATTCCGATCCACACAACTCCAATTCTATTTACTTCCCACCTCCGACCCCAATTCGTTGGCCTCATGTTTATAACATTGTTACACTCGTTGGCCCCGAATGCTTAAATTATAGCAAACCGTTCCCGGCTCCAGTTTGAGGTCGAGTTTCCTCCTTCCAGCCCTCGACTTACAACTTCCTCCCCGACGCTCAATTAATATTTCCCCACGCGGAAATCCACCCCCGCCGCAGCCGCCCTCCCCGTCTCGGTTTGATGGATCTCTCACTATCGGATCGGGTAATTTAGAAAGCATCGATTCGATGGCTCTTTTCCAAGACTTGATAATTCCGCGCTGAGGAGGGTTTAGGCCTAATTCAATCGAAGGCGGGCATTCCGCATTTTCCGGATGCTGTTCTAGTGCTACTTAAGCTACTTAAGGGGATCTGGGCTTGTCTTTCGGGGTCTTCCGAGGAAGAGGAGGAGGAGGAGGAGGAGGAGGAGGAGGGGTCAAGCCCATCTTATGTAGGCCCTCACCGTTATTTTTTTAGAGAATTGGAGAAGTCAGTCCAGTCTTCTGTAATTAAGGAGGAAGGGGGATGAGACGTTACATACTGTGGGTGCCTTAAGAAAAGGGTCTAAAATTCAGCCAAAATTCCTTACGTACTGTTAGAGCGGTATCTAAGAAAAAACTCCGTACATATGACGCAAAACATGATGTACTTTTTCTTTTCCACGCTCTGGCGTATTCAGTTATTGTAATCCTTCTAGAAACTGCTGCTGTTCTCCGGAAATGCATTTCCGTTGCTCTCACAATATCTTGAGGCTATTAATTTCTTCCATTACCATACCTCACATCCACATTACGTCAAAAGAAGTCTCACTAAAGCGTTGTAAATCCTCCACCTATTTCCTTTCATCTCGTGTTAGATAATTTGAAGTCAGAAAACACCAATTATAAGAATAATTTGATTTCCGAGCAGAGAAAGAAGAAATTCCCGGATTTTAGAATCCGTTCCCAGATTTTCTCGGATATGCTTTATTCCCTGATGAATCTCCGTACTTCCCGGTTTTTCTAGGTCCTAGACACCGTGCCTCTGTAGTCTGGAGGACGGGGTATTATGCCGAGATCAGAAACCCTCCATTGCTATCTTGGCGATTATGGAAACTTTTACTTTCGGGATTCCAACACTCAACTGTTGACCTACTGCTAGGTAGATGTTGAACAACGTGTTAAGAATTTTGTTTCACAACCATATCAAAGTTTGGCAAACTTATTTGGTTCATTACGTCACCCGAAGCTCATCATCTACCTAGTACACGGAGAAAAAAACTTCGTGCGTGGGACCCGAAGTTTAGGTCATATGGATCTCTGAAGTTTTCAGATTGAGCATCTGAACACTTAAGGTCTAGCTATCGAGGCTCGGATCACACATCTGAAACTTCAGTTCTTACATCTGAAGTACTTCAGATGTGAGAACCGAAGTTTTTTTCGGATGTGAGAACCGAAGTACTTCAGACGTAAGAACTGAAGTTTCAGATATGTGATCCAAACCTCAGCAGCTGGACCTCAAGTGTTCGAATGCTCAATCCGAAAACTTCAGAGATCCATATGACCTAAACTTCGGGTCCCACGCACGAAGTTTTTTTTTTTCCGTGTAGGATCCTTCCATATCCCTTTTGTCTTCTTTGTCTATCGTTTTGTCTACCAATATCAACAATCAGCCTACAGCTTCGACAAATCAATGTTAGAGACGCTTTATTCCGGTCGGACTGGCGAGATGAACGCCCCGAGCGCGTCTTCGGGGGAGGGGGCGCCGGGCCCGGGAAATTCTCCAATTTCAAGGCCGCCGAACCAATAAGCCGCCCGGAGACGCCCTCCTCGCCGGGACCGGGCGTTTGTCGCCGGGTCGTTGCTCATTTTAAGTGCCCTATAAATAATGCCCGTCGTTATTATGTCTTTTAATGCAGTCTGCACATACGCGCTCCGCGCGGCGGTGGGCTGCGTCGCGGCGTCTACGTCACGGGGCGCGCGCGGGACTCCGGCCAATAAGAACTCGAGTCCGCCCTTTCAAGACATATTATGTGTTCCGCTACCAGTTCCGAATTATATTCCTGTCTCCATCCCTCACTATCCGATCCTCCCCTGCCACATTTATCCGGCATCCGGCACCCAAGAATTTCTCTTATCTTGGTAAAGCCAGTATATTGAACGGGTTATTCGAGGAAGGGCGTAAACACATACAATCAAAAAGTAAAAGAACTTTATTTCTTTGACAATCCCCCAAACTTTCCGAAAAAATTAACCAATGTTCTACATACCGTCTGTAATGAGACCATGGTCATACGAGTAGGGACGGAGAAACCAAGCAAGAGGTAAAAAGTTTTGAAATTTCGGTGGGAACGCCCTTTTTCCGAGAGAGCACCCGGTCTAACCGGTTTAGCAGTATTTTGTGACATTCAAATGGACGTATTTCTGTCAAACAGAACTATGTGCATTATGGTATGAGCCCTGTTATGCATATATTCTTGTAGGTCTTAGGGCCCATGTCTAATGTTAATAATTCCGTTGGCCGAAATTCGTCCAAATACCATGCGCATTCAAAGACAATTATAAAAATCATGGCTTGTGCTCTCACTTATGGTTTTAATCATTAGGTAGCACCCTGCACAGGAGAGAGAGAGGCAGCTAGAAATTTACGCCCTTTTCAAACAGATATTCTAATGTTAAAAAACAGGTTTAAAAATCGATTTTGATACAATCGATTGGTCGTAAGATGCGTCCACTCTCAAGGATTAGCATTCTGTCAAAATCTCAATCTCGAAAAATGTGATGGGTACGCCCTTCTTCAAATAACCCCTTAAATTTTTCATATACTGGTCGAAGGGAATATCCTAGGCAACAAAAATCGAATAGTTCAATGGGCGCAAAAGTTTAACTACGGCTCGCACGGAAAAAACGATTCGCGTCGGAGACACAATAAAGGCTACATCTAATTTTATTAGCGTCCCTTACCTATCCTATACTATGTAAATATAGAAGGTTGGAAAGGCTGTGTAGCGGATTTTGACCTGCTCATCTTAAGTTTCTGACGCAACCTCATTTTTTTCCGTGCACGCGGATTACCGGATAAAATAAGCGTCATTATTGTCTCTATGATTGATAGTTTTCTCAAAGAGATCATAAAAAAACCGATTCTGTAAGATTAACGGTTCTTTATTCCGTTCGGCTTTTGAGTGTAACTGAAATGAATATGGCAACACTGTATGAATTAGAGACACTAATTCATTTTTATGACCAAAATTTAACTTGAGACATGTGAAGGTATTCTCATAATGCAGGGTTCAGAGCAGATTTGAGAGCGAAGAACAACGATCAATACGAAACGGTGGTATAAATGAACTATCCAATCGTTTTACAGCAAAGAGATAAATAATAAAATGCTCATATATCCCTAACTGAATAACAGGCCTCTATTGGTAAGCGGAGAGCATGAATGTCTTGGTAACGGCATTGAATAGTATTGAAAGAAGTGTTCCCCAAATTTAACTGAGCGCTGATGATTACTTTATCGTCGAATATTGGCACATCGGCTGCGTAAGTTATCCCTCTATCCATTTCTATCCATCCTGCTTAACACCCCGCTGCGTTGATATTTTGACAACTTCTTCGCTCATAATTTCAAATTAAAATCTTCATCTTTCACGTCAATACTCATATCCGACGGCTTTTATTGGACTCCGAAGAAAACATGTTTTCTGAATTAACGGGAAAACAATTCGACGATAGCCACCCGTCTAACAATAAGTTCACCCTTAAAATTCATTACTGTGAAAATGAAAATAATTTTCACACTCTACTGAACCCATAACATTTAAGAGATATAAATGTATATTTGTACCCTGCTGAAGAAAAAACGAGAGGAATCTTTCATACATACAGTAAATAAAAATTACTCCCTGACAATATCTTCAATTCGCACTCTTTAAGCTGTATAATGAGTACGTACTTAAGCATGTCCATGTTTAGTGTTACTCTGTGTTACTTTGTGTTACTTTTTTTTTG